GTGTGGGAGCCACTATTATGCTGTTGTCAGTATGGGGACGCGTCATGGATCGTTGAGTAGAGGGGGGGCTAGGTTTAGGGTCAGGGATAATTCTTGGTATTTTTGCCTTGTTTTTGTCATTGCCCCGCCCCCCCCTGCCTGGTCGGAGGGGGCAGGATACATGCAAAATACGGCCTTTTTCAGGCCGACTGGTTTTTTCTCGGCCGCTCATGCACGCGGGGTGGCGCATGCTTAAAAATAAAAATAAACGTTTCTTGCTAAAAAAACTCCGAAGATTTCAACAAAAAAATCGGAAGACAGATCGGACACGGTTAAGGGCCCGTACAAATTTAGGTACCCTAACTTATGATACAGAGGAAGTACATGTGAACAAGAGGCAAAACACTGCTCTATGTAACTGCTGTAAATAACCTGCTTCTGTATTCTACATCCTCCGAGTTGTACGCACACAACCACCATGTTCATAGTAGATAGAAGTGTTTTGTGTTTTCAACCACACTAAGACTGACGTCTTTTCATTGGTCAGCCGGTTAGCGCGGTCGATGCTAATAATAAAAACACAACCACCACCCAAGAAAAACGTGTTATCTGTTGTGATTGATTTCTTTTGCAATTTTTTCCTTGCGTTGTAGTGCAGCTACTGCCTACAAGAGCGTACAGGGGCGGGGTCAGAGGCTAGAGCGCCATCACGAATTCCCTGTCTAGCCCATTCAATGCAATGAATGAGTGAAGCAGCGTTTGAGTTCTGCCCCGAATCTCTCCCCACGGCTCAATACGACGTGATACGGTGATTTCCGTCTCCCCCTGCGGCGCATTTCCGGACAGGATTTCCCGAACCGGAACCGCGAACCGGATAAAACCAGTGTGTGTAAACGTCCCCAACGGCAGTCCTGGCGTCGTGGTCCGACTCTCCTCCTTGCCCCTTCGACTCTGCCTCCCTTTCTTTGTACCAGCGAAACAGCCCAAAGCCAGAGGTGGCCGCTACCTTGGCGTGAGCGTGGCTGTGCTGCTCGGAAAGCGTGGCTGTGCTGCTCGGAAAGTAATCTACTACGGTAGTCTGCATCTACTGCTGTACAGTCGACAAGCCGAGAGGCATCGAAGGAGCACACGCGCAGCAGCAACCATGTCGTCCTCTGTCCTTGAAGCAATCGCAGCGAGGAACGCAGCCCAAAGGCGCCGTGTGGTCGAGAAGAAGCACGGGGAGACGATCGATGTGCCCGAGGGGTCGGGACTGCTCGTCACCGGCTGCAGCGGCTGCACCATCAACGCGCCGGGCAGAAGCAGCAGCGTCACCGTCGAGCGGTGCGACGCGGGGACGAGGGTTAACGTCGGCAGCGTCGTGGCGTCCCTGGAGATCATCCACTGCACGGACGTCCAGGTCTCAGTAGCGCGGTGAGGGAATAAAGAAAGAGAGACGTGATCTATTCAACAAGAATAGCCTCTCTCTGCTGTACAGATACCGCACCCAGGGGAGGCTGGGGCCGAAAATGCCGTGCAATCAACATCGTAGGTATGCAGTAGTAGGACCGCATGGCGTCCGTTGTGCCATAATGTATCCCGTACGCCCCGTCGGAATGGGACCGTCAGATGAATTTGAATTTCGCTACACTCGCCGTCAGCTGGTTGAAAATGGTGCGAAGACGACTCCCGAACGACAACATCGTCCGTCTCAAGCAAAGCCCCGTTTGGCTACATGTAGTTACTGCTGAAGCTGCTGAAGCAGTAGTTCCAATTATTTCCCAAACACGCATGAACACATACCTCCGTGTGTTTACCTGAGCTGCGTTTGTTTGCCCTTGTGAGCGATCGTGTTCATATGTAGCAAACGCGTCCGCCGTCTGCAGTCGAAAATGCTGATGCCAAATGTCTTCTTTCATCCCGGTGCTTTGCCACACGTCGCTGACCCTTTCGTTACCCCGCTTGTTTGTGCGGTTGCTGATGTCTCTTCCGCTGGCATCGCCGCCGCCGCCGCCGCCGAATCCGCCGCCGAGGAAAGGTGTCGCACGATCACCGTCGACGTCTCCACCGACGTCACCCTGACCTGCAAGTGCCAGCCGCCCTTCGGACAAGAGGCGGAGCAGCAGCAGCAGCGAGGAGAAGAGGCGAAGGTCCACCCGAGCGAAGCGGCCGACGAGGCCTCGGCGATCCGCCTCTTCACCAGCTGCAGCGAAGGGCTCACAGTGCGGTACGAGGGCCTCCTGTCGCAACCACCACCAGGGGCGGTCGCCGCCGCCGACCCCGCCGTTGCCGCCGATGCCACGGCCGTCACCTACCGCGTCCCGAAAGACTGGCGGCACGAAAAGGGCGACGGCCCCCGCTCGGTGACGCGCGTGTCGGGAGCGGGGAGCGGCGGCGGGGGCGGAGCGTGCTGCAAGACTCTCCGTTGCGACCAGTACGGCATCCCCCTGGAAGAGGTCGAGGCGGCCGAGGCGGGTGTCGCGTGGACGTGGGAGCATGGCCGGGGGGGGGTTCCGCGGTAGCAGTCGTACGTAGCTAAATCACCCGCCTCGTTGAGGGGGCACAATCCGATGCACACAGGCCAATCGTTGAACCCTGGCTGGGAGTGGTGTTGCTGTTTTCCTGCTTGTGGTATGTCTTTTCACATCCCTTCCCGGTTTTGGCAAGAATAGTGATGGATGACTGTTGTTGATGGGTCTCGAGAGTGAAATCAAGAAGTGCAGATTGCAATGGGGGGAGAGGAGGGACCAGAAACCGGCACGTGGAGACGGCGAAGACGTAGTCATAAGACGTTCCCGGAGGGCGGAGATCAACAAGAGGCATTGTCGTCGGCGCCGCCGAATGGGCCGGTAGAGTATTCTGACGTGACGGTCGCAGAGATATACCAGAGGCATTGTTGCTGATGCCGCCGAATGTACCGGTATAGAAGTCCGACGTGATGATCGCAGCAAGCAGATTATTTGTGAAAATCTTGTGGAGGGAGTCTCCTTGCTTGAGAATTGGCAAAGACGACGGTCTTGGAACATGCACCGTGTCACCGAGGAGAAAAGAGGGCCGGGTACTTGCTGTTCAAGTATACCCAAAGATAATACCTCGAGCGCGGCCGCAGCGTGGAATTTCACACGTAACGCGGTGCTTCTGGCTGGCAACGAAAGCTTGCAAGGATGACGTGTTTTCATTCGGAGGGCGGGCCGCAGCTTCCCGAACATCGAACGGAGGGTGCTATTACCGGTCTCTCTCGAGAACAATTCGAGAAAGCTTGAAAAAATGCCAAAGCACCCGAGTGCTGTCTGTTCTCCTTGGATACGGTCTCTCGTCGCACCATGTAGGCTCGCGTAAGCGCAAACATAATCCGGTCCGGGGGAGATGGGGCGTCAGTCATACCGGCGTTCTTGCGATACGGAAGGCGGCGTAGTCATTGAAAGGATAGCCCTGCTGGTGGTCCAAACATATGCAGTCTACAGGACTCAGGTCCAAACCAACCGTCGCAGCACACACACGGAACCGTAAGGGCCACCGCCACCGCCGCTGCCGCCGCCGCCACGCGTGTGTGCCACATGTGTTCCGAGATCGACCAGTAGTCCAGTCCCGTGCTGAGGAAACAGTCCCGTGTTCGTGCAAGCACAACAACACACATACTTACCTAACTGCCAAAGGCGATGCTGAAGAAGATGAACCGGTAGCCTTTCTTTGTCATTTCTGGTCCTCGGGAGCTCTTCCAACGTTTCATGTCCTTCGCTTGTTGGACTCAAAGAGCGCTTGGAGATGCATTCTTAAAGTAGATGTCCGTACTACTGTGTCTGAAGGAACTCGCCTTCACAGATACAGGTACGTCCATGCAGAAGACCAGTGCATGCCAAAACTGGAAGTTAGAAACCAAACACCCAGCGTCCCAGGCACCACGAACCACATTCCGGCGAGTGGACCGAAAGCCATCCTTTTCGGAAAAAAAATCGTGTGCGAAATATTCCCATCTTGCTTTTTTCGAAACAAAGAAGGTCCACGTGTTTGAAGACGTTCACCAACCCCACCCGAACAGGCGGAAACACCGGTTTATCGCGACGTACTCTGCTCCAACCCGCCTTGACTGGCGTAGACTAGACTTGGCACATGCACCCGGTAGGTGCCCTGTCCAGGGGTACAAGCAAAGTAAACCACAATAAAGTGACAGGTCTACAGCGATTAGCGTTGGAGGAGATCTACAGTGGCACATGCACCCGGTAGGTGCCCTGTCCAGGGGTAAAGGCACGTACACCGCAAAAAAGTGACAGGTCTATCGCGTTATAGGAGATAATATCCTAGTAGACTGCCGCCTCAAACGCAACAAACTATTGGCTCCGGGATGTTTGCCTTTGGCCACTTGACCCATTTGAGATGGGCGTAGTGCCACGTCGGCGGTTAAGTATTCATGCAGAACGACGACTCTTGTTCAAACTTCGAAAAATAGGAAATCAAACCAGGACAAACCAACACCACGCCACCACACGCCACAGAGTGTGACAGCTACTGTCTTGAAGTTTGTGGCTTACGTGTATCGTGCCCAGGAACACGAGCCCAAACAAACGCAGAGAGCAACATTGCACACGCCAACCGACGGTACTCTCTGACAGCAAGAGCGGACGGAATAACAAGAACAAAAACATTCCGTCGCACCACCCTCACGGCCACGCACTTCACATGCAAAACGGAACAAAAATACGGGAAAGACACCCAAGGAAATCGCGGCATCTCACGCTGCTAACATCAGGCATGACGCGGCGTCACCCCCCCAGCCCAGTCGACACCACGCGAATGCATCTCCTCCTTGGTCAGCGGCAGGTGGTGCAAACCACCCTCAGCGTCTTAGGGCCGCTACTACTCCAGCGGGCTGTAGATAACACGCACAAGTCTCCCGTGCCCCACGTCGGCCACCTGGACCACCAGATTAACCTGTGCAACCACCGTGTCCGCCCCCGGCTCTCTCCCGATTTTCTTGTCTTCTGCGGAGGCAGGAGGCTCGGCGTTTTCTCCTCCTCTCCTCATAAGGGAGGCGACGAGAAGACCGGTGTTGGCGAGGGTGCAAGGCTTGATGCCTTCCACTGACACCCTTGGGACCTGTGGGCGCACAGACAAAATATGCGGGATGCATTATTTTTTTGTGTGTAAGCGTATTCTTTGTCACTTAATTGCATCAGATTCTTGCACAATCCAGTCTCCGATAGCGGGAAAACACGAATAGACAAACCGACTAGGACAGAGAATAACCAAAAGAAACGACAAGAGAGGGGAAGACAACTATACCCCACGAAATAGAACAGCAGCGATCAAAAGTTGTCAACGAAAAGGGAAACAAAAGGAACGGACAGGAGAATGAAGTAAAAGGAAATACAAGGAAACATGCGAGATAAGAGAAAGACCAGAAATAATGGATGTATCGAACATCACCATTGTTTTCCAATCCCATTTGTTCTGGACGTCGGTCCGTACGCCTTGGGTTAATTCTGGGCGCACCGGGCGGGGTCACCAAGGAGGAAGTAAGGCCACCAGGACTAGAATCGTAATCTCCGCCCTCCTCTGCGGCGTTTACCTTGACTACTACCGCGAAAACGATTGAGACGTGCCTTTCCTTGTTACCTGTGAAGTCGAATCGTTGCGTACACACGAAAACATAGCTTTCCATACTGTTTTGGCATACAGTTCGCGTCCGCACACAACAACTTGGCAGTCAAGAAGCTACTATAGCCTCGAAATACTCAAAATCTCTAAGAACTTGAGCACCACTTGTGAGCTCGGTTAAGAACCCCCGCACAAAAACCTATATAGCGACCATTCGTAGCATGACCCCAGGAATACAGTAAGAACCCCAGCCTCGGGTACAACTATAGGTTCCTAAGTGCGGGCGGGCGCTAGCTGTAAGGTAAGTGCCCTGTTCGTGTGACTGCACCGAGATTCGAACCCACGTCCAGAACGTCAAAAGGTTGAGAGCTTGCCTACTGAACTGCACGGCCGCTGTCGTGTGAGAGGCAAGCGAAAGCGGTAAGGAAACATAGATAAAATCAGCTCGCCTCGAAGTGCATCGAACAGCTGCCTCGTGGGTAGTCCCTCTCGCTCGTGGTTCCAAGTCGCACGAGATGTCGCTCGTTGACAGAATCCACCAAAAACTGCAGGAGCAACAAGACCAGAAGCGGTCATGGACGCCGACACACAGGGCAGAGGTAGGGGGGGGGGGGGGGGGGGGGGGGGGGTTTTTTTTTTTTT